CCCCGCGTAATCAATATAGAACACTAGTGATAAACATTACATGGGACTGCCAGCACTGAAAAAGTTCTGAACAGGGAAATCAAGCTTGGCATAACTTTCGTGTTTTGTACCAGACGTTGGAGCAATTTCACCAGTACTTGGAGGAATCGGAGGCTGATGACACAGGACATCAAAGGCCAATACAGACCCAAGTGAATGGCCATATAATGAAACCTTACCCCCATTCTCAACAAATTTCGGGTTTCGTTGAATAAATAAATTGTAGATTCTATTTGCTTCATTCGTAACAGTATTAATCATAATTTCTCGATATCGTGGAGTCATATACAGTAATACTGATTACATGATTTTTATAGTTAGTTAATAGTGTCAATATCAAATAAATTTAATCACTATCAACTCACCATCCATTAGAACATCAGAAAGAAGTAGTCGTAATGTTGGTACACCCTCCAATGTGACTTCACCTGTAATAGATTGAAATCTTTAATTTAATCTAAATACTCAAATAAATAACAATACTTAATAAATAGAATAATCTTATACCTAGAGTGGTTTTTCCCTCTTCAGCGGCTTTAGGCAAGCCCAAATCCCTTTGAAAATTTTCTTCATCTGCTGCCATACCGAACTTTTTCACAAAAAAAATAAACATGTAAGCAATATGTTGGATGTTATACAAGAATGCGAGAATTGAAGCAAACCTTGATTTCCTGACGCCATTGAATAGGTAATACTTGAATTCCATTTTTACCTTGAGAAAATCTGTCAGATAGAGTAGAATTACGCCTGCTAGAACTTGTACTTGACCCACTTTTCGCAGAATTTTGAGAAGTTTCAGGCGTATGGTTCGCAAATATGGACTTGAGGGTTTTTCTTAGTGTATTAACATCTTTTACAAGTTCATAGTTAATCGAAATTGGAATATAAAGAGTTCAAATATTGAATAAAAAATATATATGTATATATACCATTAACAAAATGTAACCATTCTATCCTTTCACTCAGTTTTTGACCAATCCTTTAATGTATAACAACCGATGTTAATGTATAATATATATTGTTTTTTTTTCAACGTTAAATTAATTAAGAATAATAATAACATACCCATGAATTACCAAAATAAGATGATCAATGACACGTTCTTCACCTTCGCTCTCTTCATTTTCATAATCTTGGGTTTCCATAGTTTCCAGTTTTATGTCTCTTTGCTGCGCATCTAATGGAGGAATGCTTCTGGTAACAGTTTCCGCCTCCTCCTTTTTCTTTTTGGCAGTGTCCTCATTCGATTTTTGAAAAGCGAACCTTTTTACCTCTTGATAACCTCGGATAAGTCTTACACCACCCAAGTTTTCATTATTAGTAATCGTGGAAAAAAATGTTTTAGTAAGCCTTCCAGTCATATCGTCACTGATGATTTATAAATGCAAGTTAATTAGAATTTATATAATAATTTGACCCTAAAGGTTATTAAATGTTCTCACTTTAATAACCAAGCAGTTGTTGGATTCGTGTAAGTTACATATTGAGATAAATATTTTCCCAAAAGCGCCCAGCGCCTTTCCTTTTCTTTTTCAATCGCTCCTTCTGGCGCTGTAGACGGACTATTTGGCTCCGGTTCAGGAGACAGTATCCATGCTTGATGCTTTCTATCAATAAAATACAAGAATAAACATAACATCACATGAATTTATTAATAATAACATAACATATCACTTACTTATAACC